AGCCTCCTGAGTAGCTGGAATTACAGGCACGCACCACCACACCCAGATAATTTTTGTATTTTTAGTAGAGACAGTGTTTTACCATGTTGGCCAGGATGGTCTTGATCTCTTGACCTTGTGATCCGCCCACCTCAGCCTTCCAAAGTGCTGGGATTACAGGCGTGAGCCACCGTGCCCAGCCTGAAACATCTTTTTTAAAACTACAAACTAAATGTGGAATTATGAAAAGTAACAATGTGGTACCCCCCTGTCTAACCCCAACACAGATAACCACTGCTAGGATGTGTATCTTTTCATACCTTTTCTGTGCATTTGTAAACATATGTCATTTTTTTAAAAAACATAAATGTCATCATAATATGTTTTCCCCCAGAGGCTTTTTTTAACTTGACAGTACATGATTGACCTGGCCTTCCCTGTCACTACACAGAGGTTCATACTTTTTCTACAAGTCCAGAGCTTCGGTTATATCATAATTTGACCACTAAGTTAGGCTTAGACATGTAGGCTCCTTGTGCTTCCTCGTATCATTCATTCAACAGATGTATAAGTGGCTCCTGTGTGCCACATGGTTCTAGGAGGCAGGGCTTATAGTCTAGCGGGAGAGGCAGACTATGACCCAAGTTAGATATGGTGTGTTAGATGGTAGTGAGCATTGGGGAGAAAAATAAAATGAGGAAGGGGAATTGTGGTCGGGTGGTGGGAGTGGTGGTTTCAAGCACATTGATTGGAGGAGAGGAGAAGAGAGCTTTAATGCTTCCCAGTGACGCTTTGAGAACTCCTGGGGATTTTTGGCTTGGGAAGCTTAAGAAAGGATGGCGGATGCTATAATTAAAAAGGCAGATGATAACAAATGTCAAGGAAGTTGAGAAATTGGAACCCTCTTACATTGCTGGTTTGAATGTGAAATCTGCTTTGGAAAAGAGTTTGGCAGCTCCTTAAACAATAAAACATTGAGTTACAATATAATCCAGCTCTTCCACTCCTGAGCATGTACCTAAGACAAAAAGAAAACTAGGTCCACAAAAAAACTTACCCCTGTATGTTTTTACCCATGTAAGTTTGATGATTCATACCAGCATCATTCGTGATAGCCAAAAAGGGGAAACACCCCAAATGACCATGTGTTCTATACATGCAATAGGATACTATTTAACACTTTAAAAAAAATAGAATGAAGGACTGATGCATGCTACCACATGGATGAGCCTTGGAAATGGTATGCTTTGGTAAAAAAGCCACACACAAAAGGCCTTGTGATTTCTTTTATATCAACTGTCCAGAATAGGCAAATCCATAGATACAGAAAGTAGATTGGTGAATGTTGGGGACGGACCAGGGGACCATGGGGAAGTGGAGAGTGCCTAAGGGGTACATGATGTCTTTTGGGGGTGATGGGAATGTTTGGAAATGGATTGTGTTGGTGGTGGCACAAGTCTGTGTATGCATGTGTTAAAAGCCATTGAATTGTACATTATGCATGGATGTGAGTTAGTAAATTATATCTCAATATATTCCTGCTCTGACTGCAGCTGGGTCTCTTGTTTCCATAGCTACGAAAGTGCCAACATGGAGAGCTTCTTCAGCGGGAGCTGGTCCATCTTCTGGGTCAAGATGGCCTCCTGCTGGATCTGTGTGCTGTTGTACCTGTGGACGCTGGTCGCTCCCCTCTGCTGCCCCACCCGGCAGTTCTCCGTTTGACAATGTCAGTGGTCCCCTGGGCTCTGTGGGCCTGCAGCCTGGAAAGTGCCATCTTTTGAACAGTGTCCCCGGGGGTTAAGTGGTGACTGGCGCCCTGTGCCTAAGTGGGTCTGAAAAGGCTTTCAGAAAAAAAAAATCTCCTGATTAGATTTTTACTTTTGAAATTCAAAAAGAAACTACCAGTTTGTCCGAAAGGAATTGAAATTTTCAACTAAACTGATCATGGTTGAAATATCCTACCCCTAGAAACTAGATACTAGTTATGTTGACTTCATTCTGCTTGGTTTTGCCAAAACAGAGTTTGGGGCACAGCATCTTTTCACAGGGATAAAAAATACCTTGTGTGGCCAGTCATACTCATCCTTGGAATAGAAAAACATGCCAAATCCCCAGCCCCTGACAGAATCCAGACCCCTCTCCCTCAACTCCCACCTCTTAAAGCTTTGTCCCCAGCGGGCTTTGAGGACAGGACTCAGACTGCAGGGCCCCTGGTATTTATAAGGTCCAAGAGGAGGCACCTGCTTTTCAGCTGCACCCTCCGTGCTGCCTCCTCATGGCCCCTAAACGTTTCCCTCTGAGGTTGTGATGCTGGAAATCACAGACTTCACTCTCTGCCCGCACCCTTCCCCGAGGTCTCATCTCTTCTGGGTCCCACATCTTTGTAATAATGTGAAAAAGCACAATTTTCCCGGTCACCCCCAACATGGTTCTCCACCAGATTATCACTACCTGATCTTAGTTACTGCAAAAGTATGGCGCTTATTTATGGTGTTAGTCACATGGTTATAGAACAAGATACGTGTTGTTTTCTTTGCCTAACCAATGGAGGGCTATAATTCTTACTTGTGTGTGCTGTTGATAATGATCATACTTTTAGGACCTTAACTGAAAAGCTGCTTCAAGTTGAAGCCTGCTGCATGCACTGCTCTTTCAGTTGTTGAGGTCAGCCCCTCAGTTTCTTCTCCACCTTGAGGCCTTTGAAACTGTAAAAGCGGAAGAGTTTTGTGTTCTGTCGCTGTAATGTGACCACACCATTCAAGTCCATTCTGGTGTCCTTGGAGTAGATTTACTAAAGAGAGAATTTCTGAGGTGAGGATCCCAGGCAGCACCTCAGACACTCTGACCCAGGAAAGCATGTTAGGAAAAGTGTGGGAGTGGCCAAATATACTTAAAGACAAGTGGGAGGAGGCGAGTGGATCTCTTGAGGTCAGGAGTTCAAGACCAGCCTGGTCCACACGGTAAAACCCCCTTCTCTACTAAAAATAGAAAAATTAGCTGGGCATGGTAGCGTGTGCCTGTAATCCCAGCTACTTCAAGGCTGTGGCACGAGAATCACTTGAACCCAGGAGGCGGAAGTTGCAGTGAGCCAAGATTACACCACTGCACTCCAGGCTGGTGACAAGAGTGAGCCTTCATCTAAAAAAAAAAAAAAAAAAAAAAAAAAGGAGAGAGAGGTGGGCGGTTGAGGGTATTTAAGCCATAAGTAACATCCACAGGGATTTCCAAAATACATACTGTAATACTCATAGAGATGTGTCTTTTGGCAGCTACCCAAGATGATGCCCATTTTCAGTGTTGATGTTCTCAGGCAGGAAAGAGGTTTACTTTATGGAAACTCCTGTTAGAGAATTTCATTCGGGGTGGAAAGAATCTTCTTGAGCTCTCTGGAAGTGAGGATCTGAGAATAAAAGACAGCCTAGTCATTTTTTTCTGTGCTGTACTCTATGAGTTGGACAAAATTGAATGCCACCTAAGCTGGGCGTCTGTGTGCCAAAATGCTTGTGGGTGAAATCAGTAAAATTCTTTCTGTTCATTCCTTTGCCCTTCTCCCAAGAAAACCCAGGGAAAAACAAATATAGGGGATGAATTCCTCTAGAACTTTCCCTACTTACAGTGTTTGAGATTCTGTTTTAAAAGGCACTCCATCTGTGTGTTTGGTTAAGAGAGCCTTGTTTTGTAAAGTCCATTAAATTTCCATTAAATAGGGCAGGAGAGATTCATCAGGAGTTGCAAAATGAAAGCCGATGAAAGCCGTTTGCTAACCTGAGGAACCAGTTAGGGGACAGGAGCTCCGTGGGCCAGGAACAGGCTCAGGGAGTGGGGCTGCGTGTCACACACAGTAGCCGTGTTGCAGTGGCATGGGGCCCTGGGTACACCGCGGTTGTTTTTAGGAAACACTCTGAGAAGCAGGTCGGGGGCCAGGGCAGCATTGTGACTAGTTTCTTTGTCTTCCTCCTGCTGAGGTCTAGCAGAGCCCTTGCTTTGTCTTCTCGGCTGGGTCTGGTGGCCAGCTGGTGTGATTTAAGAAACTGACCTTATGCCCAGTCAAGGTCAAGCTGACAAGGCCTTGCATTCCTTGGCTGGCTGTGGTTGGCCCTTTCCTCTGCAGAAAGCAGCTCAGGGAAGCCCAAGCAAGGGGGTGTGGGCGGTGGAAGGCTCGTGTCCCTTCTTCTGGAGCCAGCCCAGTCACTCCACGTTTTCCAGATGTGTGAGTCTTGGTTTGTGGTCTCCCATTCCCTTCTGCAAGTTGGTCTGAGGCAAGAGGAAGAGTTAAAAGTTGATCTGAGTTTTATTCTCAGCTGAAATGTTAGCATGTATATCTGGATAAACAAAAGAGATGTGGATGTATCTGAGGACCGAGGGACTATCAATGCAAAGTTAATAATGTTAATGGTTATTAATTGTGATACACAATACTCAGGTGAAGAGTCAACATTCGTGGATTTAAAGAATCTGTAGTTATGGCCGGGTGCAGTGGCTCATGCCTGTAATCCAGCATTTTGGGAGGCCGAGGCAGGCAGATCACCTGAGGTTAAGAGTTTGAGACCAGCCTGTCCAACATGGAGAAACCCCATCACTACTAAAAATACAAAATTAGCCGGGCATGGTGGCACATGCCTGTAATCCCAGCTACTCGGGAGGCTGAGGCAGGAGAATTGTTTGAACTCAGGAGGTGGAGATTGTGGTGAGCCGAGATTGCGCCATTGTACTCTGGCCTGGGCAACAATTGTGAAACTCTGTCTCAAAAAAAAAGAATCTACAGTTTTGTGCAATGTTATTTAAGAGACTGGAAACATTGTGCCAGTGGCTTTGAGTTGCTATAACAATGGTGTTAATTTGATTAACCCACTGATATCTTTTAAAAATAATAGACATTTACTACTTAAAGAGTATATTCCCAGAAGCTGCTGGTCAGACACATTTAGGGATGACAATTGAAGAAGATTTTTTTAAAGCTGCAAGTGAATATTTCCTCTGTGTCACTCATCTGATAGAAAAGTTTCCCCTCATTTTTATGAGGAAAAACACTAAGTGGGTGACAGGGGGGTGGGGGTTCTTATGGGAGTGCCATCCGAAGCATGTTACCTGACTGGAAACTAGAGACCATTTCCATTATAAGCCTTCAGAGACCCAACCACATCTTTACTGAGTCTAACTTTTTAAATACTCATTGGTTAGTTTTACTTTTGCCCACAATTTTCTTGGGGAATTGTCTGAAGAAATTGTTTGCCACAGGTATTTGGAGGCTCTTTGTAGGGGAGATGAAGTGGGGTGGGCTGTGGGGTGGGTGGAGTTACTGGGGTTTTGGGGTTCTGTTTCCATACAACATTGTTTATTTCTGATTCTTCAGAAGATCCTTCATTATGAGTGACCTCAGTGTAATGTTAATTTCCCATCCCCATGCCAAAATTGTCACCCTCTGCCCTTTTTTTGAGACTGGCTCACTCTGCCACTCAGGCTGGAGTGCAGTGACATGATCTTGATTTATGGCAGGCTTGATCTATCTCCTGGGGCTCAAGAACCACCTCCCAAGTAGCTGAGACCACACGTTTTTGCCATCATACCTGGCGAATTTTTATTTTTATTTTTTTGTAGAGATGAGGTTGTCCAGGCTGGTCTCCAACTCCTGAGCTCAAGAAATGTGCCCGCCTTGGCCTCCCAAAGTGCTGAGATTACATGTGTAAATCACTGCACACAGCCCGCCCTCTGCCTTTCTAAGATGATGTATTTATTTAATTTTTCCCATCATTGGTGCTTCACCTTCCTGTGAAGGGAATTCCGGAGCCTGTATTTAAGCTACCTGGGCTTTTACCCTCCCTTTATTGCCTTTCTAAATGCACATTTGGTGTACTCTAGTATCCGATACCTCTTGAAAGTGAAAGCAGGCTCAACCTAAAACTAAGAAGGGACAAACTTAGAACTAAGACCTTACACCCCCAGAAAGAACGCTGGGCCCTCCTTCATCAGGGACAATGCAGTAGCCACTTGGCTTGTGGAATTTTCTGAAGGATATTTTCTGTAACTTGTTAGTTAACTTAGTTTTGCATTTCAGGCAGAGGTGCACTCTCTAATGTCAGGCCTTTGACTTTGCAGGACTGGAGAGCTGTTCACACAGATGTTTAGAGCTTCCCCTCTCTTCTTCTTCCTCAATAAATCTTTCACAGAAGCAGTCATTTTTAAAAGTTGAAATATTTGGCCTTTACCAAAGAGCTTTCTTTTTTTCCTTAAGCAAAAACCTTTCAGAAAGAAACTTCAATGGGGAAGGGCAGATTAAGAATGCATATGTCCCAATCCACTTGTATAGAGTGTAATCATATTCACGTGAGTAAAATGATGGAAGAACTCTTGAAGGTAATCCTTTGGGATTAAGGATCCTGGGAAGTTCTCTCAGGTAAAGAAAGCTTACAGCAGATGTGTAATATATGTCTTGAGAGCTATTTATAAGAAATTTAAGAGGATTGTTTTGTTTTCCTTTATTAAAGATTTAAGCCTTTTTTACTTTGCATAAAGAAAACTCTACAAAAGTTTTATAGGTATAACTTTGCTAATTTTTTAAACTTTTCTGAAACAATTAGCTGTAGCCAAACTACGTGGTTATGTTTTGCTACATGAGAATTTGAAAATGCAATATGTGTGGTAAATCTACTGTCTAAAATTTATAATGGTCTCAGATATGGTTAGAATTTTGGTAACTTTTGAAAGTTATTTTTCCCCTTTAGTCATGGATTTCTATTTGTTTTTTAATGTTAATTTTTCTATAAAGCGTCTGAATTGACTTGGCTTTTCCTTTGTAAAAAACTCAACACTTGTTAACTCTGTACTTTAATAAAATTTAAAATTAAAAGTATATTGTTTTTTTCTCTTCTGCTAGATACATATATAATTAAAGTACTCAAGTTGTTTCCAAGAGACGTTGCCCTCAGATGTTAACCAGCTCTCTTTTAAGTT